AAATTGCCATTCAAGCAGACGTTTGTGTCTGAAAAATCAAACCTCCAAATGATTCATAGCATTTGTAGAACTGAAAGGGAACCCAAGGGTCGTTGAGTTGAAGCCTCTGACAAAAACAGGAAGTCTACAGCTGAAGCATCCCTGATAAATGGTTGTCTAATGTCTGTTTAAAAACCTCAAGTTGAGGGGACTCCGCCACTCTCCAGGTTAATCCATCCATTGTTGAACAGCTCTTACTGTCAGTAAACTTTCCCTAATATTTAGTTAAGCTCTGCTCTTGTGTAATTTGACTCTTTTACTTCGGGTCCTAGCCCCTGGAGCTGCAAGGGGAAAAGACAACCTTACTTCATCTTTCACAAGGCAGCTCCTCAGGCATTGAAAGGTGGCTGTCACCTCTCCTCTCAGCCTTCTCTTTCCAGGCTAAACATAGTGGACTCCTTCAATCATTCTTCAGAAGGCTAGCTGTAACCAAACCCTCCATTGTTCTCATGCATAACTCTAGAACACCTGTCATGAAACAAAACAAATTAATTTGCCAACTACGTGAGGTGAGAAAAGCTCCAGCTTCAATAATCAGATGTTTTCATCAGTGAAGGAATTCTCTTCTTTTGATTGCTATACAGTAGTATTCTCTAGTTGGTCAGCCCTGAAAAGGATCGCCATAAGACAGTGTTGACCTGACAGCCCAGGATTATTATCATCAGTTCCGCAACAGTTTGGCCAATAGTAGGGAAAAGTACCCTGTTTCCCCGAAAATAAGACCTACCCTGAAAATAATTCCTAGTATGATTTTTCAGGATGCTTGTAATACAAGCCCTACCCCAAAAATAAGCCCCGGTTAAGTGAAACTCTGCCCTCCACCGTTGTGCAGCAACCAAAAGATGATGACAGGACAGTATTTGCATAAATGTAGATAGTTGTACATAAAAAAATAAAACATCCCCTGAAAATAAGCCCTAATGTGTTCTTTGGAGCAAAAACTAATGTAAGACCCGGTCTTATTTTTGGGAAAACATGATAATAGTAATGGAAAAGTGGTGTGGAATGGAGAGAACTAGTGAAAGCTGTTCTCTCTGGATGGAGAACAGAAAACTGGGCCCAAATAGACTTTTCAAGGCTGTCCTCTGGAGCAGTCATGGAAACAGAGGTAACACAACAGATGAAGCTCTAAGTTGTACAAACAGTGAAATTGCTGTTTGTTTAATAACAGTATGTCACTAGTTCTAAACGTTGTATCTTAAGACAGAGAAGTGGTTCATGCAGCCCCAATATTTAAAATAAGATCCTACCAGGAAGAATTCAGGAATTTATAGACCACTCTTCATAATTTAGGGAGGGAATATACATGGATGGGAACTTTTAATATAAAATTATTAAGGACAAGTGTTGCTGAAGAAAAACGAGGATGGATCCTGCAAAAGTACATTTGTGGCATTAAAAAAAACCCCACCAAACTAATCAGGATGGGATAGGGGCAGTTAACCAGTGTGGGTTGAAACAGACATGGTTTGCTTGGAGTTTCAAAACATTTTTAACAAGATCCTTCATCCAAAACTTCTGACCCCCTCCCCACCTTAGCAGTCATGGGAAAAAAGTGTGGGTCCTTCACAGGGTGCTGTGACTTTGCTTTTATTGGCAGGGACAGTGATATCATTCCCCTATTCAATTTCAGGCTTCTCTGTTCTCTCTGAGCTAGAGAGAACAGGGATTTTCCCTGCAACAATACATTGTTATGAGCTAATCCTGTAGCAATGCCAAGTATTTTGGTATGGCTTTGAATGGGCAGTTAAAAGGAGCAAAGCCAGGATCCCATGACCTTACTGTGCTAGGACTTTTTGATTGGCAGGGACAATGATAGCACCTCTCTCACACACACACACCCCTTCTTCCTTCCCTCTGAGTTTAGCTGCAATACTCACAGTTGGTTAGAGTGGAATCAGTGTTAATCCACAAAGATAAATTGCAGTGATCCTGTCTTGTAGTAATGCCTGGAGTGTTGGGGTGGTGGTGGCTTGGCTTGGAATGGGCAATTAAAACCCATTCAATTTACAAAAGACCTGCTACTGGCTTGTTGATATGGATCAGCACAGCTACCTGCATGCCTCAGTTATCCCTGCCACCTTGACAAACACTGGCGACTTCAGAATTCACCTCTGCGTCACTGTCAGCAACTGATTAAAGCTCAGGAACCAGAGAGAAGGTATACCATTCATTCTTACAGTGGAGCAATGTAGCTAGAGGGTTGATGCTAATGTATCATCTGGAATTTAAATTGAACAGTGAAATTATCCCGGTGAATTACATCAAGATAGAGTGGTTAAAGTAGGGATCTCAAATAACTCCTAAATTTAGTTCTAAAGAAGGGAAATAGGCATCAAAAACAGCAAGCCTAGATCCTGGTAAACATGTTGTTTACAACACACTTCATAATCCATGTGTGTGATGCACACATGTCTATTTGAGCTGGTACTGATTGACCAGAATGTGGGTCTTGAGGTGGTGCCTGATCAAAATGTTGGTTGCTGTGAAAACACCAGATTTAATGTTCAGGCCTTTTAAGAAATGGATCAGAAATAAACTGCCCCCATTGTGTTGCTTTTGCACAAATCTATGGTGTGGACACGTTAGAAATACTGTATTCTGGCTGCCACTCCACAAAAGACATATTTGAGAGGCAGAAGTGGAAAGAGCAGCTCCCGTAATCCATGTGCTGGAACCACTAACCCTTGTGAGGAAAGGTCCATAACACTGGGAACTACCGGTATTCCTTTTAGGCGGGAGTAGGGGAGGGTACGGAGAACATGATGAAGAACTATAGAAGTATGCACCTCATGTGAAGAAAGGAGGTCTTTCTCCCCAGCAAATGCTACAACCCTGAATTAATCCAGCGAAGGTGAATGATCAACCATTCAGAGAAGGAAGTCCTTCTTCAAACTGCACATCAGCAAAATTAGGAGTTCACATCTTCAAGTTGTGGATATGATGACCGATTCAACCTTAAGATTAGGCACATTCACCGAGTGTGAGGTTTACCCATGGCTACTAGCCACAGTGACTGAACAGCATCTCCAGGATCAGAAGGAACAAGGTTCTTTCTGTTGCTGGGGAGCATGGGATTAAAGGGATCACAGATACACACACACCACCGTTACAGCAGTTCCACTGGCTGCCAGTTCATTCCTGGGCAGAATCTGAAGTGCAAGTTCTAAACTATAAAGCCCTAAAAGTCTTGAGCCCAAGCTATCTCAAAGACCACATCTCCCATTATGAGCCGGCTCGTCCACTAAGATAGTCAGGAGAGGCCTTTCTCTCCATCCCTTCACCTTCTCTGTTGCTGCTCCCAGGCTTTGGAACTCTCTCCCTCAGGAGGCCAGGCTGGCCCCGTATTTACTGTCCTTCCATGAGCAGGTAAAGACCTCTTCAGGCAAACTTTCCCTGAGTGAATGGCTGCCGAATGATGTTTTTAAATGAATCATTGTACCTTACAGCTTTTAATGTGCTTTGGTGTTGCTTGTGTTTTTAGTATGATATTTGCTTATGCTTTTTAGTATTTGTATACTCTGTTGTTTGCTTTAAATATAGTGGTGCCTCGCTTAGCGATTGCCTCGTTTAACGATGTATTCGCTTAGCAATGAGGTTTATGGAGCGATCTTGCGCTCCGTTTAGCGATGTTTCCTATGGGAAAATTTCGCATAGCAATGTTCGGGACCTTGCTTCGCTTAGCAATGACAGTTTAGGTCCCCCTGTTTCGCTTAGCGATGTCCGTTTTCGCTATTTTAAGTGTGTCTTAAAATGTTCAAAAACTGTTTAAAATGCTTGGAATCGTTAGTGCACCCTGTAAAACCTTTGCAAACTTAATTTGGCTTTGTTCTGAGTCTTCGTTAATTTTTGGTGAATTCCCCCCCCATTGGAATGCATTGAACTGTAGGTTTGACAGCTGTCAGAAACCCAATCTTCACCAAATTTGGAGGGATTGTAGAAGGGAGTCAGCAGAAGCTTCTCTATGATTTTGGTGTCTCTAGGTGCTTGTGTGTGTGTGTGTGTGTTTTCTAACAAATGTATAAACAAATAAAAAATTTCCAAAAATGCATTGATTCATATTCATCGGGCACTAATTCATAAAAAATATGAATCATCAAATGAGTGAGTTTTAAATGAATTTGGTGATTCATTGTTTAATTTGTGCCCATCTCTAATCACTAGCTGTGCTGGCCAGAATTTTTAGAAATTGCAATCCATGAACACTTGGGCTACCCAAGGTTGGAAACCATTGTAATAGGTTAATCCCCCCCGCCCCACAGACCAATAGTATGAGATGGGTGAGCAAAATACTGGCCTCCATTGCTGAACTAAAGCACCTAGCATGCATCATCAATAGCTACACTGGCTAGGGTTACTGAGAATGGCAGGTCCAGGAAATTAGATGGAAAACTGATTCCCCCACCCACCCTTTAGAGACTTTCAGAAACTGTGGTTTTGGCTGTAGGGAACTGGAAAAGGAAGGGTCCCAATATCAGCCCCTGCCCCAACTTCTAAAAATTGAAGATCAGAAGCGGCCATTCAGGCACTTTCGGCAGGAGAAGCCTGTGGCAAGCCAGAGATTTCACCCTGCCCTACCCCAGCATGCCAAAGCTGCCCATCCTCATGTAAAACATTTAGAAAGACGTGGATGAAAGCCCCTTCAACAGAACCAATTTTGTGTGTGTCATATTAGGTAATCTCCTCACCCTTCCATACACTTTTCCCCTACAGCAAGTGTTCTTTGGAGTGAGCTGGCATGCATGGACTTCTTTGCTTCTGGAGAGGTGCAGAACATCTGCAAAGACCTAAAAGGGAACATTCTTTTGGCTGCAATGCAAGGCCACTTCACCTTCTTTTTGGAGGAAATCACATATACAGATAGTCATGTACAAAAACAATGAAAAACTATGCTACAGGAGATGGGTGTTCGCGCATGGCAAAGAAAGCATGGGAACATCGAGAGATAAGGAAAAGTGGTGTCAAGGATGTATCCATTTTATTGCTGGAAGAAGTAACACCATTCCCTTCCTCAAAGTTCTGGGCCAAAAGAGCAGGATCCATGAGTTCTAGAAATAACACCCATTTCATGTCATATGAACTGTGATTTTCCAGAAGCCACCAGAACAATGGCTGGTCAGCAAGATCTCTGCGATGTTGAGATATGAGGGTTAAGATTTAGTAGGAAGAGAGGGGTACATTAGCAACATAGGATTCAGCCTTCTCTTACCCCAACTTTTGCATCTTCTTTGCTTTGCTTCTATGGCAGGGGAAAGCATCACGTGGTCCTCCAGAGGTGGTTATCCATGTCCAGCACCTCTCACCATGGGCTACGCTAGCCACAGCTAATGGGAGCTGAAGGCCACCTGGACAGCAACACAGACCCCCCCACAACCTAGTTTCCTAGCTTAGCAATGCATAGCAATTCCACAGACAGGCTCTTCCATCTTCATTGTCATGTTTTTAAATTGTAATCCTTACATCCCCCCTCTCTCTCTGCTCATGAACTTTCCGAATCCTTTTCCAAGAAAGAAATCCTGAAATTGGATGACCCCTGTTTTTTAAAAAATATATATACCTAGGAAGACAAAGACAGTGTCAGTCTGGAACAGAGACTTTGCTACGTGTCTTTGGCTTCAACACTCTCTCCCTCACTACTGATACTCCAGGTTTGGGTGCAAGAGCTAATCTCTCTCCCCATCCCTGCCACTCTCCCTCTGAGCACAAGAGAGGGGAAGGCAGAAGGGTGTCGGGGTCCGTGGCTGGCCCGCAGAGGCTGATGATGGGCTCTCCTTTGTCTCCCCTCCTTGCAGGGAGGGCAGAGTGTCATGGCAGATAACCCCAAGTGGGGGAATGGGCTGAGGCCACCTTTGGTAGCAGTTCCTGGAGCGACGCGCTAGCTGCGGAGCCGCAGAGCAGCTGGCAGGCCAAAGAAGCTGATGTCTTCGTCATAGGCCACACGGTGGAGGGCAGGCTCAGAGGCACTGCGCTCGATCTTGGGCAAAGAGTGCTGGAGCGACTCAATAGAGGCTAAGATCTGAAAGAAAGGAAAATGAGGGGCTGACTCAGAACCACGCCCCACCAAAATAAGCATTCCTCCACACCAAGGCAGAAGGCACTTTCCATCCATCTTGGACATCACTTCAAGGGATGCATGATCAAGCGCCTTTCTCCATCTCGACGGGGAAAGGCTGCCTCCCTTGATGTGACAAAGTGACATCCTTAACACCTTCAAGTCCGCCTTCTGCAACCGAAGCCTGGATTCTGTGTGGCTTCCATATCTCACTAGGATGATTTGGGGACTTTTGTGCTTCTCCTCCAAGAGTCCCAAATTCTGTAAAGCTCAGCCTGAGGAAAAACTCTGGAGGATTCAAAAACTTGCCCTCCTAAGGACACATGAAGCATCCAGTAAAGATATTACTCAGCTCTGATTTTGGACTTTGCTCATGGATTACACCACTGTGTTTTGCTGGCATAAGCAGGACACAGGAAAAGCCAGTTGGGTGACAGCAAATGTCCACTGGTCTGTACCCACCGTGCCAAACTAGATGCCTCTGGGAAGCCCACGAGAGGAAACGGGCAACAGCGCCCTCCCCCTTGTGTCTTCTGGCAGTGGGAGGCAGCGTAACTTTCATCCTGGAGATAATCCATAATCACCATGGATTACCCTCCATATATTCATCTAATCCTCTTTTAAAGCTGCCCAAAGCTGGTGACACTCACACTCCAGGGACCACACTGTGGCATTCTGACTTCACTAGGCCTACTTGTTTGCCAGCTGACCACTTCATTTGCCCAAAAATGCTACCCACCGCAGTGATGCCTACATCAAGTGGTGGTGCAAGTAAGTGTCTGAGATAGCTTCAAAAGGAAAAGGGCCATTAGTTCTAATAGCTAAGTAGAGCCTCTGTTTCTCTGAACAGCTCCTGGGTAGGTTATCGACCTCATGCCCAGGTTGTAGGTTTCTTGGAAGCATCTGGGTAGCTGCTGTGGCGCACACCGGTCAAACCTTGGCCGGACCCCACGGGCCCTGGGCTCTTTTTATGCTATTTTCTTCCAAAAATCCCAAACCAGTCCAGTCCAGTCCAATCCACCTCCTCTATGTCATTTCCTACTACATCCTGAGCGTCATGCTTACGTACTAAGCACCGGTTCAGATTCATTGCAACCATCGGTCTTTTCTTTCTTACCTGACTCTGGCAACCCTAGTTCGACTGGGCACGCAGGCAGATAACGGCCCTGCCCCTCCCGGGTGGCCTACTCACCTGAGGGAAAAGGGGTCTCTCTTCACGCTTGAATTTCAGGCAGTCACCCATCAGCCTGCGCATGGCTTTGGGGCAATTGCTGGGCACCTTGCTAAGGTCAGGGGACAGGTAGCCCCGACCAACCATAAAGATAATCTGGAAAGAAGAAAAGATCTGGCTACAATGCCTCTGCCCTTCCTCCTCCCCCTTCAATCCCAACGAGAGAGGGAAGCTCTACTCCAAATGGGAGACACTCTGAGGGGGGCAGAAGTGGAGACAGTCAGGTCAATGCTGGGCGGTTTGGGGGCGTGGTGGCATTCTGATCACAGTCTCCCTCTCTCGGGCTCCCTCTGGAAGCCTCTACGGATAACTAGCAGACAAAGCTAAGAAGAATTCAGAGAAGGAAGCTCATGGCCTCACCACAACCTTCGTCTGGTAAAGACTGCTAGAAGCCTGGATGCCAACCAGCAGTCCCCCACCCCAACCCCTTCTTCCTCTTTTTCTTACCTGGTCCCGGTTATTGATGTGACTGTAGGGAAGGCTCCCAGACAGCAGCTCGTAGAGAACAACTCCATAGGAGTAGACGTCTGACTGGAAGCTGTAGGGATTGGGGTCTTGCATGCGAATCACTTCAGGGGACTGAGAAAAATCCAAAGGGGATGAACATCCGGTCAGTGTGCAGGTATGGGACACACTGGTTTTTCCTCTCTCGGGAACACTTCGTTTTGTTAGTATTTTCTCCCTCCTTCTTTCAAACGGACCTGCCTAAATACCACAGAGAAGGGCCGAGATATCCCTTCCCCCACCCACCCTAAATTCTCTGGCTCCATGTCGCACTCACCATCCAGAGTATGGAGCCACTGGGCTGTTCCACCTGCTGTGACCCACTCCAACGTGTCTTTACCGTGGCCAGGCCAAAGTCACCAATCTTCACCGTCAATCCTTCATGCAGGAAAATGTCTGAGGGCAGCAGGTGAAGGAGCTTCTTGTGGGCCTCAGCCTGGAGGGATGGCCTGCCTCTCCATCCTGCTATGAGCCTCAAGCCTGGGAGGTGCTGTATCCCTCACCCTTAGGGCAGGAAACCTACATGTTACGACTAGTGCTTCCACCATCTTGGAAAGGCCCTCTTAGTCCTGGAGGACAATCTGTGTAAGTTTCTCCCCCTTTCCACTGTGACATCCTGGTTCACCTTGCGCACTCACATGAGTCAGAAAATGCTACATAACTCAAACTCCTGGAGGAACAGGACCCTGGGTCTCCACCCTATAAGGCGCAACTAGATCATAAGGATACTGTTGGATTTGAGATCACGGTGGATTATGTTCTTTGCATGCAGGTAGCTGCAGGGAAAGAGAAAAAGGACTCAGTGGCTTTTCCTTCCAACTGATCACAGTATTTTCACACTAGATGTACACCTTTGTGTGTAAGAGACAGGCAGGAATAACTTTCCCATTATATTCTGTTTTCTTCATTAATTTTTTTTTACAGATTTATTAGTTATATTTCTATCTGAACTCTTCCTCCAGTGAGCTCAAGGTGGCATACACGAGATTCCTTCCCCTTCTTATTGTATCTTCACAACAATGTGTTACAGAGTAACAATAGGAACTTGGATTCAAATCTCCACTCGGCCACAGAGTTTACTGGGTGACCTCAGGCCAGATCCGAAGTTGACCTACTCTACAGGGTTGTTATGAGAAGAAGGCAAGTCGTGTAAGTAATAACAACAACATCCTTGTGAGGCTGGCCAGTCTAAGCAAGAGGAACTAGCCCAAGGGCACCGAATTCATGCACATCACCTTGATTTCTCAAATTGGAATCCAACACCTTCCCCATTACACCACCCTGGGTCTCCAGTGTTTTCTGTTTATCATGCACCCCTGGAATGGTACCTGGCTCACAATTCACCATGGAAACCATCTGGCTGTACTAGAACTACTATTCTGACATTTTGTGTGTGTGTGTGTGTACGTGCATGTATGCACAGGCACACGTGCATGTGCACATACACATACAGGGACATATTACTTTGCCACTTTTGATACACAGCTTATTGCACACCAAGCACCGCTCGGCCAAACCTTCAGCCCGTGTACAAGAGATTAAAACAGGAGCCCTGGAGGCCAAGCTCTGAGCCCACCCATGCAACCTGTGCTGCTGGGCATGTCAAGCCATGTGAGTTGGAGTACTAGCCTAACAGCAAGGGCTGAGGGTCAGGCGATGCCAGAGGGCCAGTCCCAAGTCACCACCTGCTTCTAGCGGATGAGGACTCAAGCTTGCAGCATTGCCTCAGATCTAGGCAATTCATTATTGAGAAAAGTCACAGAGCATCTCTGGTCTGCTAGCTACCCAGTTTACGGTGACTCCCATTTGTTGGTCCACTTCCTTGCTGTGTTCTGTTTGACGTACAAGCTACTCCTCCAACTGCAACAACTCCAGTTTGCTAATGTTGAGGCACATTTCAGAAAGAGCACACCTCTCAACAGCAGGTGCTGGAGGACATACAGGATGGTGCTATGGCCCTCATGTCCTGACCGTGGGCTTCTGAGAGATGTCTGGCTGGGTCACCGTAGCAGCAGAATCTGCACTTGGCAGGCTTTTCTCTTCTCCAGCAAGGCTCTTCTTGGGAACCCCAGTGTCCCCCAAGCTTTCCACCAGCCCTTTCCACTTAGGACTGCCCATTGGAACACTTACTCCATGCCCTGGGCCGTCTGCCTGGCCACATCAATCCGCTGCACCATCTCTAGGGGGGTCTCCTGTACATGTAGATGTTGGTAGAGGCTGCTCCCGTCACACCACTGGGTGATGATAGCAAAGCTAGGGCGAGTCATGAATCCCATAAAGAGCAAGATGTTCACATGGCGCGTCTTCCTGTAAGGGGGTGGAAGATGAGGGGGAAAGACTGGCATCAAAGGACCAGCCTCTTCCTCTCAGTTAAGTGCCTCTCCAACAAAATGGACGCCATGCCCCACACCTCAGGACACTAGCGAGGCCTGGCCTTACCTGAGAACCTGCATCTCGTTCTTGAAGGCCTGTACCTGCTCACTGGTGGGATTGGTGACCTTCAGGATCTTGACTGCCACATCCCCATGCCAGCGGCCCTTGAAAACGGTACCGAATGATCCGGTCCCAATGCGCTTCAGAACAGTCACTTCATTGGGGGACACCTCCCAGTAATAGCTGGAGTCCCGGTAGCCCAAAGACTTCTGCAGGAAGCAGAGGGGCAACCCATAAAGGGGAACCGTCGCAGAGAAAAAGCAACATTAAGAAAAGAGTCTGGGCCCCCGATGTCAACCTTCTTCACAATGAGGCATCTCCCATTCAAGCTCCATAATCTTCTCCAACCTCTCCACCACCTCCAGTCTAGCTATTCTGCTCCCCCACTGACCCCAACCCTAGCTATTATGCACCTTTCCTGGACCATACACTAATTCTTCTTGTAGAATCCATTTGCCTTCCCCTCAATGACGACAACAGCACCTTCCCATTTACAGTGGACCCTCTACTTACAGAATTAATCCATATTGGAACAGTGACTGCAGGTCGAAAAGTCTGTAGGTCGAGTCTCCATTGATCTACATTGCATTGAAAACCAATTAATCCGTAACTGGCTGTTTTTGTTCCATTTTGGTTTTTTTCTGGTCTGTAAGTCAAATCTCTGGCTGCAAGTCAAACCTAAATTTTGCGGCCAGAGAAGTCTGTAACTCCAAAAGTCTGCAAGTCGAGCCGTTTGTAAGTCGAGGGTCCACTGTACTGCAATGGTCCTTTGGAAGCAGTTTTGGCCACAGCACCCACCTCCTCCCCCCTTCTCTGAACACTCACAGGTTTCTTCTTGTCTTCTGACGGGGGCTTGCGCTCCCTCGGAGACTCGCCAGGGGACTTGGGGTGTGGGGAGCGGCGGCCAGGAGAGACAGCAGCCACACTGGAAATGGGGGCAGCTGGTGGTGTGCGAGGAGGGAGCTCAGGGCCACCCAAGGCTGTGGAGAGAAGGAAGATGGCTTGACCCCCACTAACTTCCCTCCAAGATTCTTCCTGCCCCCCCTCCCGATATTTCCTCATTAATTAAACATCTTTATTTTAGGATGTTTTTTATAAAAATAATCACGGGCTGTCAAGTCGATTCTGACGTATGGCTAGTCTTTTCCGAGTTTTCTAGAAACTCGGAAGAATATACAGAAGCAGTCTACCGAGAATATACAGAAACAGTCTACCATTTCCTTCCTTTGGGGGGTGTCCTGGGGGTTTGCAGCTTGCCCAAGGTCACATAGGCTGGGTTTACTCACAGGGGGAACAGCAGAGAATCAAACTCCCAACCTCTGTCTATGGTATATAAAATAAGGAATCATGGGAAAGAGTGGAAAGATGGATGGATGGTGACTTTAAGATTACCCCAGGAAATCAATTGACTGTAATTTCCCAATCCTCACAAGGAAGTGACTTCTTTATACAACGCATAATTAACCCATGGAACTTATTGCCACAAGGTACAGTGACTTTTTCTCAACCTGCCTGCCTCTGGATATTCTAGTCTGCAATCTCCATAATCCTTATACACTGGCCACATTGGCTGGGGCTGATAGGATCTGTCAGGAAGTTCTCAGATTGGCAGAGGTTTTATTAGGCAATGATGTGAAAGGTGGTTCTACCTCTGGCTATCTGACACAGCAGCTGAAAAGGAGCTCCATGGAAAAATACTGAGCAGTGGCCCTGAACAACAGGGACAAATTCTAGAGAAAGGCCATCATTTCCATAGCTTGCTTGTAAAGTTCCCAAATTTATCTAGATGGCTAACACAAGAGACAGAAGGCTGGGTAAACATCTATTTCAAGTCTACTCCAACAAGGGAAAGCTAACAGAACAGTGTGTAGTACAAAGTTTTAGAAAAGCTATTGCTTTGATTTAAAGCTCCCAGAACCAGTTATGCTAATTGGGGAGGGAGATCTGGGAGTGACAGCTTGCAAAACGAATCTTTCCAAACTCTGGCCTGCATGCCAGTTCAACATGGCGAAGACAGCAAACAGAGTAGGAATCACACCAGTCTCTTTGCTGGGTTTTTGTTCCACATGGAGCACTGCAAGGCCGAGAACTGTGACATCCTCTGGATAGTGGTGGACTGTACTTCCCATCAACCTTAGGCAGAAGAGTCTAGGGTAAAGAACGCTGGGAAATGCAGTCCAAAGCAGTTGGAAATTCTCTATTGCTGACATGAAGGAAGGTGGACTGGGGAGGGATGGAGCAAAGATAGTTGGGTAGCAGGGACACCAATGGCCTTCTGTAAAACATAGGGAACTTTCTTGTACCATTTCAGACTAAAGCATCCTTTAGCACAGTGGTTCCAAACTTTGGGCCCCCAGATACTCTTGGGCTACGAAGTCCAGAAATCCTGGTCTGCACAGCTAATTGTGAACATTTCCCCAGAGCCCTCACTGGCCCCTATGACCAATTCCCAGTGCATCAACTTCGCCTTCTAGCCAAAGCATGCATCCACTCACCATCTGCAGTTTGGCTCCTGCTTAAGATCTAGAAGAGAAAAAGGAAGAGTCAAAGCCAGGCAGAAAATGGTTATGCTGACAAAGGCGGGGGGGGGGCGGGGGACACAATGGGTCAACCAGATTTGGGATGTGGTGGTTCTGGCTTCTTGCAGTACAAAATGTTCCTCCAAGTCCTGTCAGTGGACAGACACCTCTCTCTCTCTCTCTCTCTCTCTCTCTCTCTCTCTCTCTGTGTGTGTGTGTCCATCCATCCCTGGGAAAGAAGTTCCATGGCCTGGGGTTAGCCACTGAAAACCTCAATATCTACGGAGAAATATTCAGTCCTGTCAATACCACAATATTTGTGGCCTGCAGTGGTATAGCACAGACCAAGGCCAACTTTATCTCACAGAGAACTAGGCCTAGGGAAGCAATCCTCTACAAGTCATTACTGGGCGAGTCAAAAAGTCTTTTGGCTAAAAACAGAAAGGAGGAGCTCAGCTTGCTGTGGTTCTCTCTCTTCCACACCTGCATCTCTTTCTCTTCACTGAAAAACAACATGAACTCCACGGCAGCAAAATCCCTGATGAAAACCCCTTAGGTCAGTGCTAGACAGCTCTACGGCTGTAGTTGTCCCTTGTGGGCTGGGTCTGGGACTCCAGTGGGTCGGCCCCCTGAGATCAGTCCCTAGACTTCCTGAAACACGGGGACTTATTTCCAAGCAATCCCCCTCTCCCTGAGTTGGCAAAAAGCCAGATTCCCCAGAGGTCTTTAGGAGGGGGGAGAAAAACCTCAGAGCAGACCCCAACCCCCCCAGGGTGTCCCTTAGGAGCCAACAAGCCCTCACCTCCAGGAGTTCGCTGTCCACTGGGCTGGTAGTGCTGATAATGTGGACATTCGGGGTGGAAGTGGAGCGGTGGCGCTGCAGGCGCTGCCCATCGCCACAAAGGTTGGGGTAGCTGAAGGCATCTTTGCTGAGGGAGGAGGTTTCAGGAGAACTGAAAGGGGAAAGAAAAAAAAAAGAGGATCACAGGCCGACTTTGGATCTGAACTGTGAAGTTCGAAGCAATCGCCAGAACTGGGGAAAGTGACTTCTTCTGGCTCTACAACTCCCAGGATCTCCCAGTCAGTAAGGCCACAGGATTCTAGCTACAGGATTCAAGAGATTCAGGGACTCGTACCCCAAAACAGTAACTTCCTCAAGAACTAATGTTCCAAAAACCCTGAGGTGTGACTGGCCTGACCACGGAATTACAGAACTACAGTGGCTGCAACTCCAATTCCTAAAATGGCAGGAGAACTGTTTCCCTTTTTAAAAAAAACACAGCCCACATTCATGAGGACTAGAAATTTCTTTTTTAAAGTCAGCCCTCTAAGCTTTTCTTGAACTGATTCAGTGTCAGTGGGTGTCATGTAGGAGAGCGAAGCCAACTCAGCCACACACCATCTCCATTTTCCTCCTGGAGGTTAACTGTCTTTGGACAAACGACAATCAAACGGCAAAGTTTTAGGGACAGCCTCACAATCCGCACAGTGACTTGCCTGTGACCCTCCAGGAAGGCCTGCTTCGGGCTGCCCCAAGATGTTCTGCCGCCTGAGGCAAAGACAAGATGGCACCCTCTCCTCCTTCCCTGTCCAGAAGCCACCTGACTCTTATGTCAAGCAGCACTACTGAGGAAACAGCACGCCACGCCAAATCACAGCCTCCCAGCTAGTTTAGAGCATTCAGGTAAGCCGTGGCCGTCCTGTACAACTTTGTGATTCAGGTGAGTTCAAGAGGGAAAGCCAGGAGGCTGCTTTCATGGCCCCTTCCCCAAGATCTGCCAAAGGATCACCTCCCCAACGGTAGGGCCTGCCCCATCTGCTTTGTGGTATGCAGGATTTACCCTAACAGCCTGTAGGGCGCCCTTGTGGTTTCCTATGGACTCTCTGGGTGCTCACCCCTCTTCCAAACCACTCAGATGTGAGCATGTCTTTTACCTGATCGCTTGAGGGGTCCTGGGTTCAGGGCTCTCTTGCGCTGGCGCCGTAGCTACGTTGTCTTGCCACGGTGGGAGAAACTGCCATGGCTCGTGGCTGTAAACACCAGAGGAGAGAGGAGTGATATTTAAGGTAAGGGAAACCCAGATGGAGACAAATTTGAGATTTATCCCCTTAACTGAGGTGGGGGGGGGGAGAAGGAAAGGGTAACGCCCTGGAGGAAACTCACAGCTTATGAGTCGTCGCCAGGTCGACGCAGACCGTCGGCACTCTGCTGCTGCAGTGCTCATGGAACTTGTAGCCACACGTCTGGCAACGGAAGCCGTGAAAGAGGAATTTAAGGCAGAAATCGCAAAAGACCATGCGGAAGTAGGTCTTCCGGACCTGGCCAAGGAAAAGAGATTCCAGGTCAGAGGCAGAGAAGCCACCCAAGGCGTTGCGTCAGACAGGGGTGGGGGTTTGTCCTTCTGAGGTACCCGAAAGTTTGTCAGGAGCCTGTGTGGAGAGGTGGTGAATCTGGGCACAGGAATCTAAGGCAGCTTTCCTTGTTGACTGCTCTGCCCATCCATCCTAATCATCATAGCCATCAGCAACGGTTCAATGGCTTTCAGATTGCACTGCCCCCCCACAACAATTTGAGCTTTTTAAGAGGTGAAGATGCAATTTAAAATGTCCTCTGTTAATTCAACTTGCCTCATTCAATTACCAAGGTGCAAACAAATTGATATCTTCCTCTGTAGCTCACACTCCAAAACACATTCTACACCAGTTTCCCCCCCCCCCCCCCGCGGGGCTCCCCCCTGGGGTTGTTNNNTTAATGCCCACCAACCCCAGCGGGGTCGGCCAAAGGTCAGGAATGATGGGGGCTGCAATCCAAAAGGTCCTGGGATCACCAGGCTGGGAAAGGCATAGAGAAACAAACCTTATGTTTGTTACCCCACCGTAGCAGATGTACTTTGCAATGGCTTATCTTGTAAAACATGAGATCCCAGCATTAGGTAATTCAGGTGTTCTTGGACTACAATTCCCAGAAGCCATCACCAGCCGTTGTGTTGACTGGATTTCTGGGAGTTGCAGCCCAAGAATACCTGGATTACCCAAGGTTGGGAACCACTGTTGTAAAGACTCCTCTGCCTGATTTTGCATTGTTATGACCGGCCATTACTGGAATGGGGGTGGGTTGGGGCTAAATGTGTGTTTACAAGTGGGGAAACCCTGGTATTTATTGGATTCCAACACCCATCAGCCTCCATCAGGTTGATAGGAGTTGTAGTCCAACAACAAGAAGGGCCACAGGCTCTGCTATTCCATATCATCGCAAAGGGGGTGTTACTGCATCTTGGGAAGGCAACACGTTCTTGTAGTTTCCCACGGTACTCACAAAATTGTGCATCGTAAGCGGTACATTTTCCAGGACTTCCACAGATAGTTCAGCCCCCTCCAGGTTGACCAGGTCTGTCTCCCAATCTGTGATGGTCTTCCGTCTGCCCATGGAATCAACGGGGTGAACGTCACTCAGCGGTTGTGAACCAAAGCGCCTCAGCAACAGCTAAGCTTGCAGGGGACTGGTTCAAAATTGTAAGAGCCCCACTGCACTCAGCACTACAACCCCTCACCCCATACTGTTGTGAACCAAAGAGCCTCCGCCAGAGCTAAGCTTGCAGGGGGACTGGTTCAAAATTGTAAGACCCCACTCAGCACTACAACCCCTCACCCCATACATGTCCTCGGGCTTGATCTACTGACTTGATCTTGATCTACTGACAGACTTGATCTACTGGCAACTTGAGACCCTCTGGAAATGTGGCTGCCTGAAGGGAGACCCTTCCTCCCACTTTGTGGGAACCTTGCTCATCAGCTCTGGAGCTGCTGCACTGCCTGATATTCAACCACAGGGCCACCCAGACTGAAGGCAAATAAATTTTTCAGTGTCTGGATTTGCCCACATGCTGATCAGTTCGAAGAAGATGATTACAAACCCTCAGGATGCAGATCTTGTAGAAGTAATACCCACCCTCAGCCTCAAAAGATCAAGTATGACATTTGAGTTACCACAAACCAGAGATTTCTAACAGCTGACGTTGCTGAAATATGGAGAAACAGAAAGCCTTTCTGATCTACTGCAAATCATCCAGTGATGGGACCCGTAGATCCTGATATATGAGTGATGGGAAAGGTTGTCTCTTTTTGCACCACAGTTCTCAGAATCTCACAGCCAGCATGGGAGTTGTAGTCTAAAAAGGAACATTTCCCATCTTGGCTTCTGCTCAAATATGGGGCAAGGAGCCTGGGATCATGATGACTGAAAGCAGATCATTTAAAAAATGAACAAAGAAAAGGGACCCCAAGAGAAAAATATGTGGAGGATGGATGGGACTATGAGGTAGCAGAGGTTCAGATGGGAAACTGAGGTCCAACTGAACTCAGTCCAGATCTACGGAAGTCTCGGGTCAGGCCTCAAAATGGTGCTTCCTTCCTTACCTCAGTTTCTCACCGTTCCCTCCAGCTCCCCTACTTTTATTAAGTCAAAAAAGAAAATGAGTGCCCAAACCCTCGCGACGGTGAGGATAGGCAGTCAGGAGTGAGAACAGGATTGAAACCCTATCTGTAGGGCAGGCCAAATTCTTCGTAAGGACAACCTCTGGCTTCCCACAGTCTTGTGTGTCTTTACAAGGAACAGCCTGAAAAACCCAAAGAAGGGGAAAGGCAAGTGAGGGCGGTTTTCCCTTCATTGTGCTCAGGGACACATTAAAAGGTAGCGAAGACCAGAAATGGAAAAGATCATCAAGTGAGGAAGGAAGTGGTCAGGCAAGGGAGGCCTGGAGCACTGAAGGATCTCAGTCTTCTTAGAGCTGTGAGGCTTTTACCGCCGCCGTTCAACACTTCCTAAATGCTTATTCCCCACTAGCCTCTTTATGTGGAAAGAGCTGTCAAATTTTCTAGATAATGTATTTCTTCTGAGCACAGAGAAAAATGTGTTGTTGTTGTTGTTCTGTGCCTTCAAGTTACAGAAAAAAATGTGTTGTTCTGTGCCTTCAAGTCAGGAACCAACTTACAGCAACTCTAATAGGGCTTTCAAGGAAAGCAAGGTGTTTAAAGAGTGGCTTTAGCAGGTCCACTCCTCCAATGAACATCCATGGCTCAGAAAGGGATTCAAACCCAGGCCTCCTAGTCCTAGCATCCTAGTCTGTCACTCTGTCCACTATATCATAGTGGGTGTCCATTGAGAACAATGCATCCATTAAATCAAGCCAACATGCTTCTGAAAAGCTTTGAAAAAGATGAGGAATTGGTGGATGTTTTGATTCAGTTTGCTTTCGATACACATTTGCCAAATTCTACAAAACTCTTTGGTTTCCACGTTGTCGTTTAGTCGTCTCCAACTCTTTGTGACCCCATAGCACAGAGCACGCCAGGCCCTCCTATCTTCCACTGCCTCCCGGAGTTTGGTCAAATTCATGTGGGTTGCTTCGCAGACACTGTCCAGCCATCTCATCTTCGGTCGTCCCCTTCTCCTCTTGCCGTCGCACTTTCCTAACATCAAGGTCTTTTCCAGGGAGTCTTCTCTTCTCATGAGATGGCCAAAGTACTGGAGCCTCAGCTTCAGGATCTGTCCTTCCAGTGAGCACTCAGGGTTGATTTCCTTTAGAACTGATAGGTTTGTTCTCCTTGCAGTCCAGGGGACTCTCAAGAGCCTCCTCCAGCACCACAATTCAAAAGCATCAATTCTTCGGCGGCCAGCCTTCTTTATGGTCCAGCTCGCACTTCCATACATCACGACAGGAAAAACCATAGCTTTGACTATTCGGACTTTCGTCGGCAAGGTGATGGTTTCCACACCACACCTCTTTCAAGGCATCACTGGCACAGTGTGGGGGCAAACTAAGAATTCATGGCAGCAGAAGCCTTTGTACAGCTTGGGAATAGAACTCAGGAAATCTATTTTTGGTACAAGTCTCAAGACTTCCCAGCCAGTGTGCTGGTTGGGGATTCTGGAACTTGTAATTAAAAAAGACCCAATTTTCCAAACCTGGACTGAGAGGCATAGTGCTCCTGAACACGGAAGCTCTGTTTCATCCCCTAGTTAGTTTCCCCTACATTGTAAGAACTACGTGGCCTACGTGGTTTCGAGAACTTGGATTTGAGCACACAACAAGACTTGTGATGTGTCCCCTCCCACCTCCAGCTCAGCTAATAGCTATCGAGCTTCCTTCTCCCGCCCCCCACCTAGCTTTCCCCCAACAACTCACCCATCTCCCCCTTTCCTGTAGACAACACAGCAGTCCTGGTTGAGCCCCCGCACCTTCAGGGCTTTGTCCAGGGAGTTGTAGACAGTCGTACCTGGCCGGATGGTCACCTTAGAGGAAGCAATGAAGGACTTGCATGGGCAAGGCAGGAGGTGGTGAACGAGACCAAAAATTCATCTTGCCCTTCCTGTTCCTTCGCCCCCCCCCGGTCTGCAATCTTGCCTCCATATCTGCCCCTTCCACTTCTGCTCTCCCTGTTAGCCTGTCCAAGGTAAAGACAGATGAACTGGCAGGATTCTGTGCTGTGTTCAAATTCTATCCATCCTGCAGTGTCAAGATTCAGTTGCCCTGTGTTATGAGAACTGCAGTTCTGAATATATTCCTGGCAGCAAAACCTTACTTACTTACTATCTTACTTACTAAAAATATTTTTACCCTGCCTTCCTCCTTAAAAAAGGACCCAAGGCGGCTTAATCATTAAAAGACAGTACAGTGGTGCCTCGCATAGCGACGTTAATCCATGCAGCAAAAATCGCTGCTAAGTGATTTCGTCACTATGCGAGTTTAAAAAGCCCATAGAAACGCATTAAAACCTGTTTGATGCGTTCCTATGTGCAAAAACCTGACCTTAAAGCGAAGATCCTCCATATGGCAGCCATTTCTGCTGCCTCTTAAGCGAGGAACCCGTCCCTAAACGCAGCGGGTGGCCATTTTTTAACCTGGCGGCGATTTTGTAACCGCCGATCAGCTGTTAAAAAATCATTGCTTTGCAATGATTGGTAAGCAAAACAGAGACCCGATCATCGCAAAGCGAAAAAAAACCATTTAAAACATTGCAATGCGATCGCTTTTGCGATCGCAAAATCTTCGTCGCTATGCGGTTTCGTTGCTAAACGGAGCTCCCATTAAGCGAGGCACCACTGTATTTAAACGCTAAATATAGTACGTCTACAAGTATTTAAAAAGAATCATATTGATACCACACTAGAAATGGTAAACAAAACCAACAGCAAAAGCACATTTGAAGCAACAAGACACAAGACTCCATTCAAAACCCCTCTGGGACACTCAATCACTCTGGGAAAACTTGCCTGAAGAGAAAGCACCCGATCACTCTGGGAAAACGTGCCCGAAGAGAAAGGTCTTTGATCAATTGCCTTCTCAGGTACTGGACTAGCTCTGCCTCTCCAGCCTGAGGTAATTGCCTTCTCAGGTGACTGGACTAGCTCTGCCTCTCCAGCCTGAGTACTGGACCTTATTGGGCAGGAAGTGCTACGTGAGGCTTCCTGGCGTGATCGGGGACTGTTGGCTGAGCAGTAAGGGCTTCCTTTTCTGATTCTCCTTGGCTGAACAGCTGGCTTACCTCTGACAACAGCCTTGAAACACAGTAGAAAGAACTGGCCCATCTGGTTGTCCCCACAGAAACCCCTCCTCTTAAGATCACTTTTTAAAAACCAACCCAAAACCTTCCACCTGGATATCAAATACCACCCAAACGTATGCGGTGCAGTGTATTTATCTGAGGACATGGACACACTTAATTTTTTTATGCTTTGCAGCATTTGACACCAGAATAAAATGCAAGAGTCCTATTGGCAGCTGGCCTTGAGATGCGTTTAGCAACACATGTTGGATCTGTTACTGCATTTGACGGCTTAATGGCATTATCCACACTGGACATCAGGCAAAAAAGAAAAACCAAGTGTGGACCCATGAGAATGCGTAACAAATTTAAAGCACACACGTCTCATTGCAGTTTGAGGCCAAATTTCAATGTCAAAACATAATTTTGAAATTTTGGCCAGTTTTAAGAAACCCAGGTCTGCTCTAAATCTACATTTTTCTCCACATTTCTATATTTCTATCCGTTCTCATCTGGTTAACCTGGATCCATTGAATGGTTAAACTAAACTAAATCTCATTTTTTCCATTGCCTTTAATATAGATTTTTTTCTATATTGTTTTGTCAAGGTGGTCCCAATCTTTTTCAGATGCAGAAATGTGCATTTATTATGAATATTTATACCTTGCCTTTCCATCTCACAACTTAACCGTTCAAGTACGCCTATGAAACAAATATATATATATATAAAAAGAAAAGTTAAAAAATATAACAAAAACCGTTTTGACAAATCAGAACATATCGCATTATAATAAAGTAACATAATCAGGATTGACTTTGAAACAAGGCCCACTTTTATTTGATTTTTGTCACATGTCTTGCTCCTTCTCCTTTACTCTTCCTTTTCCTCTTTTTTTCCTGCCTTTTCCTCCTGTTTAGCCTCTTACTACACCTTCATATATATATAAATTGTGGCAGTTCTGCTAATCCAAAGTGTAGCTGACTTAAATCAGGATGCGAGTCACTTGAGAATCATCAGAGATCACAGGAGTTGCACTTTATCCACATCTGGAGGTCCGTGGGTTCCTCATCACTGCTTTATTAAATCAAGGCCATGGGGCCTATCTCGCCTGCCCCGCCCTCCCAATGACTGCCAGGTTTGCCAAGTTGGCTCACTCACCACTGTCCGCTGCTGATTGGGAAGATCCACCTTGATGGTGCTTCCCCGGGTTTCGGCCAAAGGCCTCTCCCCTAGCTTTCTCCTGCGTTGCGCTATCATTGTTGTCAGTCTATCTGAGAAAGGTGGGATGGCCCCTCTTCCACCCGCATCTGAAGGGCTGGGGTCTGGGGAGGGTGAAGAGGAGCCATTCGTAAGAGAACCTGAGGAATTCTGGTTGCACCTCATTCAATTTCCTAAAGAAGAAAAAAGAAAGAAAGAAAAAGCCACACAGAGATTCCAGACATGAAAGGATACAAATGCTACTTAGTCAGCAGAAGCTGTTCATCAGGCAAACAGGCATGGTAGCTTGGAATCAACCTGTTTTGTTACAGTTATCCCATTACCGGAATGGGGATTCCTAAATGGCTGAAAGCATCTGACAGTCACTACAGTTATTTTTCTCAATTCTTACAGTTTGCAAAGTCAACCTTCTTGGTTTTGCAATTAAGCTTTGGAATCTAAAGACGGGCTTTGTCTGCAAGCCTGCTACTCAGACATAAAGATGTATCTTAATCATGCTTATCTGTAATGTGCAGTTTGACCCATACAGGCTGAACCATAGGAAAAAGAGATAGATGTACTCCATGCCCATTTAGGTTTTTTTGTTAGTATCAGCACAGAGGCTACTATCTAGCACCAAAATCAGGCATCCTGGGGTCTCTCATATTTAGTGATAGAAATAAAAGCACGTTTTCTAGGTCCTTATGCTTCACAGGGAACGCCTCCAGAAAAAGCCATCTGCTACTAGAAGATGGCCCTTGGTGAATACTAGGCATGTTCATCTCCCAGAAAACGAAGGATGCCAAATGCTGGTAGTGGCCCTAATATGCTTAGGGCCATATCCTTCATTTCATTCCCCAAACAGGCATCCAAAGGCATGAAACCAAAATAATGAACCCAATGTGTATGTGTATTTATTCGTTCATTACATATTTATCAAACTGGATAGCTCAGTGGTTTAGGTTTCTGGCTATGAACCCGTATGTGTATTTATTTGTTCATTACATATGTATCAAACTGGATAGCTCAGTGGTTTAGGTTTCTGGCTGCAGAGCCGGAAGTCGGGAGTTTAATTCCTGGTGTGGTGTCCTCTGGGAGTAAAGCCAGCCTGGATGGCCTTGGGCAAGCTGCACAGGGGTTCTATCGCTCTTCACACTTGCCAACAAAGAGAACTTCAGCTGTATGTGTATTTATTTGTTCATTACATATGTATCAAACTGGATAGCTCAGTGGTTTAGGTTTCTGGCTGCAGAGCCGGAAGTCGGGAGTTTAATTCCTGGTGTGGTGTCCTCTGGGAGTAAAGCCAGCCTGGATGGCCTTGGGCAAGCTGCACAGGGGTTCTATCGCTCTTCACACTTGCCAACAAAGAGAACTTCAGCTTGGTGTTGTTCAGTGGTTCCCAACCTTGTGTACTCCAGGTGTTCTTTGGACTGGAACTACTAGAAACCCCAGGCAACACAGCTGGTGGTGAAGGCTTATGTGGGAACAGCAGTCCCAGAACACGCCGGTTAACCCTGTTTGGGAACCCCTGTTGTAGCTGGTGACCCACACTATCCTGCTTCCAGTGGGCAGCTTCAATCACCAAGGCGTCTCAAAGACCTTTCCACTCCTCCTCGTGGTTACTGTCCTCTCCTAGAACAGCGAGGCAGGCCTGGTCTTCTGTCTTGTGCTCTTATTACCTGATGTGCCATTATTTTCCTTTTCAGCCACTCAGCGTGAATTGTATTGGCCCTCCTGCAGCCTGCCCTTTGTTTGAAAAATAAACAGAACAGCTGTGCATATTTTTTTAAATGAAGTACACTGCCCAGTTGTCATTTTTGCCACTGGCTTATGACAATACCGAATGGCTAGGCTTCTTGGTTTAAAAAAAGAAAAGTGCCAGGGATTTTCTTAATGCTGGTGGGGTGTGTGTGTGTGTATATGTGTGTGTGTGTGAATTTGCTTCTGGAACAACCCTGTCTCTCCTTGTACAGATGGCAGAGACATCAGTACTAATAAGATATCAATCGTACTGTAAGATCAGCGGAAAATGTGGCTCTACTCCTCAACTTTACTTTAATGCTGGCTTCACCACACTCCTGCCCTCCAGATGTTTGGGGCAATGACTCCCACAATTCATTACAGAATGTAATGGAAGCTTTAAGCCTGCTGCAGGAGGGGTCAAAAAACCAGTCACACCGTTGGCTAATGACTGCTACTCCCCCACCCCCTTTTTAGCCCCTTTTTGTTTGTTTTGTACAGCTTCTGACTGTGAGCAGCTAGAATGTGAAACAATAATCTATTTCCTCTACTACCAGGGCCAAATCTGGTTCATAAAAGGGGAAGTAACTTTTCACCACCCTGGTCCATGCGCTCATAGTCTCGATACAGTATTAGACTACTGCAATGGTCTCTATGTGGGGCTGCCCTTGAGACTGATGTGGAAACTACAAATGGTCCAGAACACGGCCGCCAGACTATTAACTGGGGTGAAAAGATATCAACGTATTTAATTACTCTGGTAGCCTTACAACTGGTTACCCATTCGTTTCCGCATTGATTTGGTCCATGCGCTCATAGTCTCGATACAGTATTAGACTACTGCAATGGTCTCTATGTGGGGCTGCCCTTGAGACTGATGTGGAAACTACAAATGGTCCAGAACACGGCCGCCAGACTATTAACTGGGGTGAAAAGATATCAACGTATTTAATTACTCTGGTAGCCTTACAACTGGTTACCCATTCGTTTCCGCATTGATTTCAAGGTATTACTGTAATGCTTACATATAAAGCCCTAAACGGTTTAGGGCCTCAATACCTGGCACAGCACCTGTCCCCACCTAGCACTACTCGTACCACTCGACCAAGCCAGACCGGGTGGCGGGGGAGCTTAACCACGAGATAGGCCCGGAAGGAGAGAACAAGAAACCAGGCCCTTCTCAGCGGTGGGCTCTCATCTTTGGAAAACCTTACCCCGCCCCCCGGAGATCCGACTGGCACCCTCGCTGGGAATTTTTAAAAACAAATTGAGGACTTGGTTCTTCTGGCAGGCCCCCTCCCATTACATTGCTTCCTTATCCCATCTTGGATCCTGTTTTCTTTATTGATCTTTATTGCCTCGTGGCGCAGTGGTTAAACTGCTGTACTGCAGCTAAAACTGTGCTCACAACCTGGGGTTCAAATCCCAGGTAGCCGGCTCAAGGTTGACTCAGCCTTCCATCCTTCCGAGGTCGGTAAAATGAGTACCCAGCTTGCTGGGGGGGGGGGGCAATGTGTAGCCTGCATAATTAAATTGTAAACTGCCCAGAGAGTGCTTGAAGCGCTATGGGGCGGTATATAAGCAGCACGCTTTGCTTTTTGCTTTTGCTTTTATGAACAAAGTCATTTGAATGCCATTTTTATCTTTAATATTCTGATAGCTACCCAGAGTAGATTCCTGAATCTAGATGGGCGGGGTAAAAATGGAACAAATAAACAAATAAATAAATGAATAAACAAAATAAAATATGGAGCCTCCAAACATAAAGATCCAGTATCACAGTTACTCCTAGATGATTTTTTTTGTTCCCCTACCCTTGTAACTGCCGCAATGTAAACCACCTTCCGCTCTCTCCAGGTCCACAGGCTGACTCCTGTTTAAAGCTGAAACATCAGCAACAATTTTCTCCAAGAAAAAAAGGGGTTTGCTGTGGAATTGTCTTCTAATAGACCCCAGAGGCTAGAGTGGGAGGCAGGTTCTCAAAGAACCATTCTACTGAAAACAACAAATGAGCACTTCTGTCACTCAAGTGCTCATTAATCACGGGTATCAATAGCATCATACTGCTACTGTGTCAACACTGAAATAGAAACACTGAGATAGGTTTTTTTTTTGGCTGGGAATGGTAATTACGAAAAACCCATAAATCCAAGAGGTGCAGCGGCTAAGACCAAGTTAGTATTGAGATGGAAAGTCCTTGAAAACCAGGAATGGGGCAGCTACGCGTACAGTGACCCTTCTTTCATTCATTGCATTATTCACACCTCGCCTTTCAAAACAGAAGCTGAGGCAGCTCACAATACAAATGGGAAAAAAAAGAGGCTGGATTGTATCTTCCATCAACCCCCGGTCACCCTAGCCAAAGGCCAGGAATAATGGTTGCTGTAGTTCGGTAATGCTGTGGGCACAGATTCTTCCCTCTTTGGTCTAAAATGTAAATGTCTGAACAGTTGCAACATTAGTACTGTATATACTTAAAATAAAATCCCAAAAAAAGCTTGCTGGAATAAACCTGTCCCTTCGGCCTGCCTAAAATGGAAGAAGAAGACATCCTTGTATCCTCCACCAGGAACATCTCCAAATCCCGGGAGCCACAGATGACAAGGTACTGTGTCACATACCTATCTGCTGTACTTCTGACAGCAGGGAAATGCAAAGTTACTCTAGGGCTGCTGCTGAAGCTAATCTCTTGTCAATTCATTCTGAAGGAAGAAAATGTAACTGATGTTTTTGTGAGAGAAGTTAAAATACCAACCAATTTTGGAACCAGGGCTGCAAAGTTTAGAGAAGAAAGATGACATGCTAGTGACTTTTGGTTATGACTCCACAGCCCAGGGCTGGGGGACAGGTGACCTTTTAAGATGCTTGTTAGACCACATCTTTCATTGTCCCTAAGAATCTGCTAGGCTGGCCACTGTCCAACATGTGTTTTATTTCTACCCCTCCTTGCTTAACAACCATTCTCTGAGGTTATACAGTGGGTATTCCCCACTGAGGAACTGCAGCCTGCTTTGGTGCACATCTAGAACTTCCTTTGAAGTCACATGGGCCTAACCTTGGATGACAAAACTCTTCAAAATACAAACAGTGTGTCACGGCTCCTTTCTAAGAATGCTATTTAATTTTTTTAAAGGAAAAAAAACTATTTAAAGACTTGCACTGTTTATATACATTTTGGATTATATTTGTGTTCTTGTGACAAACCAAAATATATTGGGGTTTTATCTATGGCCTTGAGAACAATCAGCTGTTGGGTGGCTGACAAATCCTAAAAATGAATTCGGGATTGGAAACCTGTGGCCTTCCAGGGGCTGTGGAATATAATTCCCATCATCCCTTTCCATTAGCTGTACCTAGCTAGGGGTGATTGGCCACCACTGAAACAGATACGGTACACTGCTCAAAGTGATGCTCAGCTTTAGCGGCCAGGAAATTGAAGCAGTTGGTGCAGGAG